AGTGCAGTTGAGATGGTGTGGCGGGGTGGCTCCAAGCCACCTTTTGATGCCCCCAGTCCTGGGGCTGTCACAGCTTAAATGACCCACAAAGTGACTTATAGCAGCCTAAGAGTGCTCTAATTTGCAGCATCTGAAGTAGCCTCCTAAAACCACTCTGTCAGCCAAGGACTGGCTAGAATACTGTGTTCCTTGGTCATGCCCCTGATTTGCCGTCACTCCAGTAAACCCTATACTGGGTGTGAGTAGGTGCTTGGAATCATTAGCTGCCCCTACAGGGCAGCTTTCCTGATACCTTGTACTGTCCTATGTTGAAGGTCTGGCCACAGAACTAGAAACGTTATGAAAAGCTTCTTAAATGATGCAAAAACTTTACTTTTAATCTCCTTGTAAACATGTGGGGGCGGGGGAGGGGGGGAGTTTGAGCATTGGCCTGCTAAACCCAGGATTGTGAGCTCAATCCTTGAGGGGGTGACTTGGGGAAAAAATCTGTCTGGGGATTGGTCCTGCTTTGAGCAGGGGGTTGGCCTCCTGAGGTCCCTTCCAACCCTGATATTCTATGATTCTATGCACTTTTGGAAAAGATAGACAACAGATATTCATGCAGAGTGGAATATATTGGGTTTTAGTTTTGTATGTCCATTAAGCTTCCAGCGTAGCCCAGGACAGTCTCTTTGTGTATGCATCCAGATGTTGAGATCATGTAAAGTCTGATTTAGAAGAATGTTATTCTTACAGTGATATCTTCCAGCAGCTACATCACAATGAGCAGCGATGAATACGTCAATGCAGGCCTTTACCTTAGGAAAGGAAACTACTTCCTCTAATTTTTAAAGTAAAACAATGAACTTTGAGAATAGTAGGAACTCGTGAGGAAGGACACAGACATCTGGAATTTCGGTCAAGTGGCTGCAACTCTATTAATCCCATAACAGAACATAGATAACTGGATAAATTCATGGTGGTTAAGTCCATTAATGGCTATTAGCCAGGACGGGTAAGGAATGGTGTCCCTAGCCTCTGTCTGACAGAGGATGGAGATGGATGGCAGGAGAGAGATCACTTGATCATTGCCTGTTAGGTTCACTCCCTCTGGGGCACCTGGCATTGGCCACTATCAGTAGACAGGATACTGGGCTAGATGGACCTTTGGTCTGACCCAGTATGGCCTTTCTTATGTTCTTATGTAACAGGATAATTTATCAGGCCAGCCTGTGTTGACCACAGTGGAAAATGGGGGAAGGCAACAGGCACTGTATTGTCACATGGATTCTCCCCCTCTTTTTGTAGCTCAAATCCAGAGCATCACAGTTCCAGGGATCAAATTGCTTGTATAAAACCAAGGCCCCTTAGAGCCTACATTACTCCCAATGCCTATAATGTCCTATTGCCCAGAACAGCCTAATGCTAGAAAAAACAATACGCCTCTTAGGATGGCTCAGGCTTCCCTGCAAATCTAGCCCCTTTTCCTAGGAAAGGTGTGTTAATGGGAAAGGGGCTTCATCTGAAACCTGCTGCCAGAGCCTTTCACCGCTGCTTCCCCACTGCCAGAGCTCTTCCTTGCTGCTTTGTTAGAGCCTTTCCTACTGCCTCAGATTTTCCCTGCTGTGGGGAACAACTCCTGCCGTTTCGAGTCACTGGTAAGCTACTGTGCTAAAAATAGCAGTGTAGACACAGGTGGCACTGCTTGGGCCTGTAGAGAGCTGTGTAGAGTATATGCCCTATACTGCCCAGTTCTGGAGTGTCTTTATTCACCTAAGTATTGCCTCACTATCTACACTGCTGTTTATACCCATGCTATGCGGCATACATTGTATGTACTCTACACACCGCTTTAAGTTTAGACATAAGCTCAGGTACAAGTGATAATACGTCAAATAAACATTCATTGTTAGCTGTTTCACTATTCATCCCAGCATGGAAGGAATGAGAGGAAGTATCATATTAAGTAGATGTACACAAACTCCTCTTGTGTGACTGCTCATTTTGGCTAGGTGTTAGAATGCGTGGGGGGTCGAAGGGGAGCATATTTTGGTTCGTTTTCCTGAAGCGGAACTGCGATTTCAAAAGTTTGGGAAATACTGCAGTAAAGCAATTATAAATGCCACTTTATTATGTAAACATAGTATCTAATATCCTGAGACCAACGCAACAACAATGGCACTGCACACATTATGATGTGCCTTTCCCAGTGTTAATTCAAAATTAAACTATGCCAGGGATCTCTCTTTCAAATTCTGTCATTCATCTTTAAGGTGCATGAAAATGTTCAGCGTCTCATTACTTCTTTGAAGCACCTTTACATTGATTACTATAAAAATACCTTCTGAGGGTTACAAAGGTATTGTGATAATCTGCATATGAAACTGCTGTAATGCCGTTATAAATATGCATATTAGAAATCAGGTTGTGAAAAAGGTGCTATGCTGGTGCTCCTGTGCTGGACCTGTTTTCCTGGTGTTAAGAAGGCTAGCTAGAGTTTTTGTTTTTCTAAAGGTTAAAACATACTAATTCACACCATAAACTCAGGGTGAAATTGTGGTACCATTGTAGTCAATTGGTGTTTTGCCACTGATATCATTGGGGCCAGGATTTTACCCGTATAACCTTAAAAACAGACATTCTGTATGTATTGTTTATTGCATATATAATACATATTATAATATAATCATGTAACTAAAAATAGTTATTTTGTTTTTCTAGAACTGTTGTGGAAAATGTTATTGCCAGGCTAGAATTCACATTCAGACTTCAGCCTGGAGCAAATTTTCTTGGCCAAGTTTTAAGCCTTAGCAAGTATATTTTATAATGGAAACTCTGAGGGGACTATAATTATATTCGTTCTAATGTGAGCTGCTACTGCCGAGCCATTTGCCAGATTGCAACATAACTTAAAAACTGATGTACCAAAGAATAACTCTCCCCTCCCTCCAAACTTGTTAAAAAGCAAGTAAACTAGTATAAAAGGACTTTTTTGCCCTTTTAAATTTGATGAAATTTAACAGTAGTTAAACTCTGTATCCTCAAAATTAGTCATGAATAGTGTTTTAATTTTCTGTTAAACTAACCAAAGCAAAATCAATTTGGGATTGGTGCTTAGATGCTATGAAGAAGTGTGCTTTAAAAATGCCCAACATAGCTAGAATTACAGTTCTTTCTGTGTCTTCTCTTGAACCTATATATTCCAGGAATTGCAGAACATAAACCACCAACTGACGCTTTTGACACTAAACTTGTGAGTGCTGGGATTTTTCAAGCTGCCAGCCAGCTGAATTCTTAGAAATGTTTTGTTTAAAGAGGAGCTGAAAAACAGAGTATGCAGTTAAACTGCGGGGAGAACATTGGTAGCGGAAAGATGCGCACAGAGATGCTACGATGGGACAGGAAGTTAAGAATTCAGTTATACCTACATGGGGATTTTAGGGAGACAATGAATTCCTTGAGCTGGAATTTTACTGTGACACCCAGGAAGACAGCTGATAAATTTCAAAAAGTGCCATTGGCTATTTAAGGACAATGGTTAAGATCTTGGCTTTAGTTCTCTCTTTGAAAGATGGCACCTCCAGCAGGAAAATGGCCTCTGTTGCTGAGGCATTGATCAATACTGATTTAGAGGCCTTGCTGCTTGCAAAATGAATTTTGCTAAAGTGTGGTGAGAAAAAATTGAGACTCCAGAGCTCCTCTTCACTAAAAGGCCACTCTTAAATTTGTGGTGTGTTCAAATTAAAAACAAACAACCCTCCTGAGTTGACTTGTATGCAGAGTTTTATTTTCCAACAGAAAAGTCTGGCTTGAGGGAGTTAGCAGAACACTAACATGTTAAAACAGGCTAAATTCTGAATCATATTATGAGTTTGGTGGTTTCATGCTATTATCATTTTTAATGTCGCACGCTGCACTCATTTTGGCAGTCTCTGTTCAAGAGAAGCTCATAGAATATCAGGGTTGGAAGGGAGCTCAGCTAGTCCAACCTCCAGCTCAAAGCAGGACCAATCCCCAGACAGATTTTTGCCCCAAATCCCTAAATGGCCCCCTCAAAGATTGAACTCACAACCCTGGGTTTAGCAGGCCAATGCTCAAGCCACTGAGCTAGCCCTCCCCCCAAGCAGTAACATGGTTACCGCTGTCCCTGGGTGGGCTTGAACCAACATCCTTTCGGTTAACAGATGAATGCGCTGACCTATTGCACCATAGAGACACATATTTTGAATATTTGGGGATGTTGCACTTCTCTTGAGATGTGATAGGGCAAAATGAGGAAACTTCTTGAAAAAGTGAGAGTATGATGCCTTATACCAGTGGTTTTCAACCTGTGGTCCATGGACCCCTGTGGGTCCGCAGATTGTCTAAGATTTCCAAAGGGATCCGTACCTCCATTTGAAAATTTGTAGAGGTCCGCAAATGAAAAAAGGTTGACAACCACTGCCTTACACAGAATTACAGGTGAGGCAGTGGCCCACAAATTTAAACATACAGAGAAGTACATGAAAGGGTGAGGTACCTCTGACATACAAATAATTTTTAGCTGTCACAAAGCAATTTGCCAAACACATGCATGAGCTTCAGTAACATAGAAGCTCAGTTGTTTCAGTAAAACAAATCAGTCTTAAAGATGTAGAAATAGTGGCAACTGAATCAGCTACCAGAAGACTAGAAAAAGGGCTTATGTAAGGAGTAAAGGAAAAGTGTTAGTTTCAGTCCAGAAAGCAACTTTACTGAGCACAGTTTAAAATATAGAGAGAGCAAGGGAGCCTGAAAATGGGAATTATAATTGTAATGGTATGCTATATGGACTCTGGCATTGACTGCTATAATATGAAATAGAAATTAAAATATAGAATTATTGACAGACCTATTTCATGTCTCAACACAATTTTGGAGATTATTAGTGTGAGAGACTTGTTCATTGCTCTGGATAAACTCTTGTGAGGAAATGTGAGTAATAACAGTTGATCAGATGTAAGCAGAATTGTAATTTAATTTCCATTTAATTGCTGTTATAGAGTCTGACAGAAAAGCTGCTGAAGAAAGAACTTGATTACACCCAGTTAGAAGAAAGGCACTATGAAGAATCAGTGAGTAAAAAAAATATGCAGGCAAGCCTTCACCAAAAGGACCTGGACCTGGAACAGCTTCGAGCAAGGCTGTCTGCCTCTGAAGCCTCATTGCAGAGATTACAGACAGAACTGGGTGAGAAGGGGGAAGCAAGCCACAAACTTAAGGAAGAATTGTCAGAAATAGAGACAAAGTATCAGCATCTCAAGGCAGAGTTTAAACAGCTACAACAGCAGAGAGAGGAAAAAGAACAACATAGCCTACAACTGCAGAGTGAGCTTAATCAGGTGTGGTGCCTTCAAAAATATTGTTTTCATTCATATTATTCTTTTCAATACTACACTTTTCTCTATATATTTGTGTATATGTAATATAGAGCTTCTGTGTGTGTCTGTGATATCTACATTTAAAATCTCCGGGAACTACAGTGCTCTGTGTGTGTATGTGTACACATTTGTTTATTGGAGGGGGGAAATGCAAACATGCTGCTAAATGTGTATTTCCTGGCTCTTATAAATGAAAAATAAATTTCAAGTGTCATGTTTTGGCATGTTAGAGAACTAAGCAAAGAACACAAAGAAAGATGAGGTAAAGGTAAAAGAGGGAGAACAGAAACTTACTCTGATCAGTACTGTCATACCTGAAACTAGTTATAGGGCCAGACACTTAGTTGGAGCAAGTTGGCGTAGAGTTATGCTCGCTTACACCAGATGAGGGTCTGGTCCATAATTCATATTGTTTTAGTTTTGTATCTCTAAGATTACTAATGCTGTCTGTTTAAAATAATTAAATTTTCTGCTCTGTGTGAAAGGAACCTCTAATTCCTTTAACCTTGTAAATAGTTCTTTATAAGTAGCTTTCCATATAATACTCTTCTTAATCTAAATTAGCCTTAGAGCTTATTTCTTGTTTTCAGAGGGCTTGTCTGCATTGTGCCTTAATCCACATCAGCTGGAGTGTAAATTCTAATGCATGCTGCTGGGTCAGGAACTCACTGGCTCATGTGGACCCTGCTGGTGCACACTAAAAGTTCCCTAGTGCATGTTAATATAGTCCCATTTCAAACAGCACTACATTAACATCCACTAAAGAACTTTTAGTGTGCACCTGCAGGGTCCACACAGGTCAGTTAGTGTGCAACATGCTGGTGCATGTTAGAATTTATACCCCAGCTGATGCAGACTAAGGCACTGACTGGACAAGCCCTGAGAGTCAGAGAAATCAATAATTTCCAAATTCATCATGCCCTTACCCATGAATACGGATCTTGAGGCATATCTGGTGTCTCTCTCCACCCCACCCTTTTCCCCATTTTTTTTTTGTTTTGTTCTGATCACATTCTTTTCCTGACTCTAGGTGTGGAGTATTGGCAAAAGAAAATGCTACTTAGATTACTTAGTTTTCTTGCCATATATGAAAGTGATCAAGCCTTCCTCATGTGTCTAAAAGTTTTGCAAGGCTGTAAATAACAAAGAGCAAGTAATATTGTTTCTGATGGCTCAGAGTAGAGTAAGTTGTAATGGGATGAAGTAGTACAAAAGAAAGTTTTGGTTGAATATTGGGAAAGTTTCCTAGTTGTAAAGCTTGTTAGACTGTAGGATAGTATAGAAGAAGTAGTGGAAACCCCATCGTTTGATTCCTTAAAAAATGTACTAAGCAGTGAATGTATTATAGAGAAGAACTCTGCATGACTAGAAGAACAACATAAAGTCCTAATAGTTTTTTTCAATTTCTAATGTCTGGTTCTGTGATTTGAACCTTTATATTGGAATGCATATAGTGAACAGTCCCATAGTCCATTCACATGCTAAATCCTATGGAGTATAGTCAGAGCTACTTTCATAGAGCTGTGGGATTGACCCACTATTATTCAATGTTAGATGAAAGTTGACTTTGAGGTGCAGTTTTGTTTGATCTTTGTTTTGTTGGGTGCCTCTTTGTGTGTAGTATGCGAGATCAGAGAGATGTTTGTGTTTCAAGAATCACGCTCAATCCTTCAATAAGAAATCTGTGGTTCATTCCAGCTTGGTTTACTTTACTTTTAGGCCTGTGCTTTTACAGCTTTCCCTTTTTCATAAAGTAATTTAAATAAATATGTTGGCTTGATGCCCACCCACAAGCCTGTAATAAATTACACCTTAACCTATGCATGCATACTTTCTACTGGAATCTCCTGTGGTTTGGCAAGAATCCAAGTTTAATGGGGGAAAAAATAAAAAGCTGATGCTTGGAGATGTGCTGAAGTTTGCAGTTTCATCCATATGCTTAGGAATCCTGATGGGTGACATTGCAGCCATCTTTCTAGACCGCAAAGAATGCAATTTCCGAAAGCACAACCAACTGGCAGAGTTCAGCTGGAAACTGGTTTCAGACTAGGAGGGCGTGCTCCAGCTAAGCAGGGCTTGTAAAAGGATTTTTGGTGGGGAAAAAAAAACTTGGATTGCCTAATAAATTTCTAGGAAAGGAAGTGTAGATGACACAAATCTGCCAGTGATACCATCAGAAAGGAATTCAGTCCAACCAAGAAAACCTGCCTGAAGGGGGATCACTGGAGTTCCCAAAATTGTCTGTTGAGACCAGTGGTCCCCAAACTGTGAAGCACTCCCCTGTAGGGGGGCTTGGAGGAATGTTTGGGGGGCATGTGTGGCGGGGCCCAGGCCAGCCCCCATGGGGGTGGAGAGGAAGCACCACCCATCCCTGCTCTGCCCCTGTCTCCCTTCCTGGCCCCCCCGGCCCTAACCTTGGCCCCACTCCTGACTGCAGTTCTGCTCCTGGCCCCAACCACAGTTCCTGGCCGTGGCCCTGCTCCCAGGCCCCCTCTGGTTCCTGACCATGGCTCTGTGTGTGCGTGTGTATACCAGTTAGGGGGAGAGGGAAATCAGTAAAAAAAAGTTTGGGGACCACTGATTTAGACATGGTGGAGGGAGGACTTTAGGGTGGATTGAGAGATTCTGAGTCTATTCATGATACAGTAACTGGTTACTCATAGAAAGAGAGATTTGTCTTAGTTTTTCCAGTTTCTTCTCTAATCGCTTTGTACAGTTCCCATATATTTCATATTGTTGTTCACTTAGCAGTCTTAGCTCATAGTTTTGAATATTGGAAATAGGTTTATAGCTATCTTTTTATTTCCCTCTTACCTGTGACTGGAGATGATCATTGCAAGGGTGTAGCCTACTAGGGTATGTCTACACTGCAATTAACTGCCTGCAGCTGGCCTATGCCAGCTGACTCGGGCTCACAGGTCCCGGGCTCACAAGTCTCAGGCTAAAGGGCTGTTTAATTGTGGTCTAGATGTTTGGGCTCAGGCAGCAGGCTGAGCTCTGGGACCCTAACACCTCGTGGGGTCCTAGAGCCGGAGCTCCAGCCTAAGCCCAAACGTCTACACCACAATTAAACAGATACCAGTTAAGATTCAGTCACAGAATACTTTTTTTCACGTGTGAGATTTTACCTCAAATGAAGCTGAGGTTGTTGGTGTGTTGAAAGCTTTAATATCCTATCTGGTCCTAAAGTCAGCAGTGTTTCTTTTAATTTAAAATTAAATTAAAAAAATGAGAAATAGTATTTTAAATATTGAATTTTTGAAAGGTATCTTTATGTGTATGCAATGTAATTATTTTAATACATGGAATATAGCACACACAGTTCATTAGGATTAATCATTTCTTCGGGGCTGAAGGAAAATTTGTGGATGATCTGTTTACGGCAGTGATGGGCAACCTGTGGGCTGCATGCGGCCCATCAGGGTAATCTGATTGCGGGCTGCGAGACATTCTGCTGACGTTGACCATCTGCAGGCATGGCCCCCTGCAGCTCCCAGTGGCCATGGTTCACCATTCCCCACCGCTTCCCGCAGCTCCCATTGACCGGGAGCTGCGGGGGGCTGTGCCTGCGGACGGTCAACATCAGCAAAATGGCTCACGTCCCGCAATCAGATTACCCAGTTGGGCCCCAGGTTGCCCACCACTGGTTTATGGCCAGAGTTCGATTATTCCTAACATTTTATTACGTGATATTGTTCATGATGACATAATGAATTGCCATTTGCTGAATGCCTAAACATGGTTTATATGGTAACTCACCTCACTCTCTAGTGGAGAAAGCCCATGTGTCCTCTTATCAAAATTGTCTCAAACAGTTGTCGGCCCAGATCCTGGAGAGTTCCATGTGCTTCTGCAAGGTACAGGGCACCCTCAACTGCCATTCTAGCCGGCAGTTGGAGACCTCAGAACATTACAGGGTTATCCCTTAGTCTTCAGCAGGAAATGCTCATTACTTAAAACAGCAAGTCTGTGAGTGATGTTAACACTTCTGATACAGTAGTTTTAAAAAGTACGGTTTCTCTATTTTGTTTCCATTTTGCTTGATGATGACTGGAACGGGACTCTGACAGCATAGCTGATAGTTTCACTTGTTTATGGAGAACCCAAAATTGTGCGTTACAGAGAATATAAAAATATAAGTTGGTCCTGGCCCTGATCTTGTAATGACTTGGATGGACCCATGTGCTTGCATGCAGCTCATTGCAGGATCAGGACTTAATTTTTTATGTGATGTGGTGAGTGAGAGTAACAAACAGTTGAGAGATGGAGGAAGAAAAGAAAAGGGTTTCAATAAAAAGATGATCCAGTTTCTCAGTTTTTGATATGTGCACATCTCTGTGGATTGGTTAAGTGCATGTCTGTACAACATACTTTTTTGAGGTGACCTGACAGAAGTGGGTTTCACTGAGTTATTTGAAAGAGGAGAGGCTGTTGGTATGGTTAGGCAAACCGGGATTAGAAGAATGTTCCACACAAGGTGGTTTTGCATGAGGAAGGCTCTGAGACAGTAATTGAGGGATGCGGAGTGGTGGGATGCAGGGGGAGAGGAGAAAAGGAAAATATAACCCTCTCTTTTCCTTAGAAGTGATAGCTGCTAATAAATATTGGTTTTATCATGCAACTTTGAACATGATAGCCTACTAATTGGTCATACCTTTTTAACTCCAGAGATTTTTTTTCTTTGTACTTATTACTGATTTTACTTATATTCTACTCGCTATGGTAATGTCTTTGGTTATACAGCCCTATTAGCTAAAAGTTCATCACATGTCCACACTGCGCCACACCATTCCCCACAGAAGTCAATGGTTTAAGAGCTTTTGGCCATATACTCTGCCTCTTGCTTCTATAGACTAATTTTTTGTGACATTAAAGCAGAAAATAGGTATTGTGCTTAGCAGTATCTTACAGGAAAAAATAAAATGCATTTTGATCACATTGTATATTAAAGGGACCTTTATAAAGGTTAATAGTGTTTTTTAAATAAATGGTTAATCAATTTATATAGCTTAGTTAGAATCCAATAGGTCAATAAGTTGCATATAACCATGGCTTGTAACCATCTATAGCCCCTTCTTCTAACATAGAATCATAGGACTGGAAGGGACCTTGAGAGGTCATCTAGTCCAGTCCCCTGGACTCATGGCAGGCCCAAGTATTATCTAGACCATTCGTAACAGGTGTTTGTCTAACCTGCTCTTAAAAATCTCCAAGGATGGAGATTCTACAACCTCCCTAGGCAATTTATTCCAGTGCTTAACCACCCTGACGGGAAGTTTTTTTCTAATGTCCAACCTAAACCTCCCTTGCTGCAATTTAAGCCCATTGCTTCTTGTCCTATCTTCAGAGGTTAAGAAAAACAATTCTTCTCCCTCCTCCTGGTAACAACCTTTTACGTACTTGAAAACTGTTATCATGTCCCCTCTCAGTCTTCTCTTTTCCAGACAAAACAAACCCAACTTTCTCAATCTTCCCTCATAGGTAATGTTTTGTAGACCTTTAATCATTTTTGTTGCTCTTCTCTGGACTTTCTCCAATTTGTCCACACCCTTCCTGAAATGTGGCACCCAGAACTGGACACAATACTCCAGTTGATGCCTAATCAGCATGGAGTAGAGTGGAAGAATTACTTCTCGTGTCTTGCTTACAACACTCTGCTAATACATCCCAGAACGATGTTCGCTTTTTTTGCAACAGCATTACAATGTTGACTCATATTTAGCTTGTGGTCCACTATGACCCCCAGATCCCTTACCGCAGTACTCCTTCCTAGGCAGTCATTTCTCATTTTGTATGTGTGCAACTGATTGTTCCTTCCTAAACGCAGTACTTTTTATTTGTCCTTATTGGATTTCATCTTATTTACTTCAGACCATTTCTCCAGATCATTTTGAATTTTAATCCTAACCTCCAAAGCACTTGCAACCCCCCCCCAAGTTTGGTATCGTCCGCAAACTTTAAAAGTGTACTCTCTATGCCATTATCTAAATCATTGATAAAGATATTGAACAGAACCGGACCCAGAACTGATCCCTCCGGGACCCCACTCGTTATGTCCTTCCAGCATGACTTGAACCATTGATAACTACTCTCTGGTAATGGTTTTCCAACTGTTTTGCACCCACCTTATAGTAGCTCCATCTAGATTGCATTTCCCTAGTTTGTTTATGAGAAGGTCATGCGAAACAGTATCAAAAGCTTTACTAAAGTCAAGATATACCTCGTCTACTGCTTTCCCCCATCCACAAGGCTTGTTACCCTGTCAAAAAAAGCTATCAGGTTTTTTTTGTTTTTTTTTTTGACTCTCACTTATCACCTTATTATCTTCTAGATGTTTGCAAATTGATTGCTTTATTATTTGCTCCATTATCTTTCCGGGTACAGAAGTTAAGTTGACTGGTCTGTAATTCCTTGGGTTGTCCTTATTTCCCTTTTTATAGATTTTTTTATAGATTTATAACCTTCTATAACGCATGCTGCTCATGTCTCCAACAGGCTTATAAAACCTACTAATTATTTATTGAATATACATTGTTTATAAACGTGTGTGTTAAGAAAGTGTGACCTTCATTTCTGTAACATGTAAAATGTTGTTATACTTCTGCTGATTTTTTTTTTTTTCTGGAGCTTTCTTCTTACCTTTGGTGTTTTCTCCCAACATCCGGGTACAAATGACATCAGCGGTTAAGCTGTTGCTGCAAACTTTCCCAAGTTTGCTCAACTCTTGTGCATATTTTTTAGAAGGAAATTACATTAGCAATTTACCACAACTTCTTGCCTCCAATCACGCACACAAATTACTAGTATTACTATGTCACAATTACTAATAGTCCATCACCCACAGGTGGAATGATTTTTAATTTACAGTGGCTAATAGTGTGGACTTATAAAGGGAAATAACTTAGCTTCAGATATTTTTATCCACTGATGTAAGTGCTCCAGTTAGGTGGAAGTAATTTTTCTACTGTAAGGTCTGACCCATTCAATGTTTTGCATTGAAATACTTCTGTCTTACTCTGTAGTTACCTGTTGCTCCTGAATCCACAAAATGGAAGCTCACATGTATATGTCGGTTGGGATTCAGTAGTGTGTAGGAGTGGGCAGGAGGTAAATAACAGCTTGAGGTTTCAGAGGGAAGAAAAATTTGTTTGAATGGATGCCTGTTTATAGCAAATAACTGTAAAGAAAGCCCTCAGCTCCTTTAGCTGATGACAGCGTCATAGAATCATAGAATATCAGGGTTGGAAGGGACCACAAGAGGTCATCTAGTCCAACCCCCTGCTCAAAGCAGGACCAATCCCCAACTAAATCATCCCAGCCAGGGCTTTGTCAAGCTTGACCTTAAAAACCTCTAAGGAAGGAGATTCCATCACCTCCCTAGGTAACCCATTCCACTGCTTCACCACCCTCCTAGTGAAAAAGTGTTTCCTAATATCCAACCTAAACCTCCCTC